ATTAGCATGGAGAGCCCAAGATGATTGCCTCAGAAGCATTAGTTTCTGAAGGCTTTGAATAGGGCTAAGGTCAAACTATGGATTTGCTGTACTCTTTAAAAAATAATGAGAACATCTGTGTTTAAATGCTTCTTTTGTCCTAGTCTATATTAATAAGCCAACTCTCCATTTTGAAAGGAGTGTGTCAGGAATAAGGCTGCTGGGAATGTGGCTTTGTCCTTAATGTAGAGGAGAGGTTAATGAGTCAAAAACTGGAAAAAAACAAACTCCTAAGTGATCCCGGGTTGATCCAAAGCAATTGATTTAAGAGAAATAGCACGTTACCCTGACAAGCAAGGCTTGCTCAAAATGGCCTTGCCTTAATCCCACCTCATATCCTAGTTGGCTGTGTGGTGCCTTTCTCTTTGGAACTGTGTACCTATAGGCTCCAAAGTTTCCACCTATCATTGCTCTGTGAGTGGGCAGACTGGAGCTCCAATACCAGACTTGCTGGCTACTGGAATGTGACCTCTGCAAATCTATCTAAACATTCTAAGCCTCAGTTTCCTCACTTGTAAAATGGGACTAAGCTCAGCCTTTGGCCCTCAAAGACATTAGTGGAGCTTCAGTGAGATAATGACTTTATAGCAGGTTGTCAGTCATGCACCTCTGGATCCATAAATGGAAAGTCCTACTGTGATAGTTCCCTCTGAAAACGTGTACAGATTTGTCCCTGGATGAAGTTCAGGCAGGATGGTCATGGAATTATTAGTCAAAGCATGCATGGCAATCATTCAGAGACAGAATGAGCAGCTGGATCAAATATTAGGAAGTGTTTGATCATTCTTGACTATGCTTCATTGTAACTATATCCATCCTCACCATGGCCCTACCTGCATGAGCTCATGCATGGTCAGGCTGACTCTTGACAGGGGTGCTAGGATAGACTGATAGGTGTTCTTAATTAGGCTTCATTGGTACCTTCTGTGTGTTTTGCATCCCGCATCCTGGGGTCACTCAAATATGGAAATATATGTTCCTTAGCCTGATTTAGGTGGAGGGCACATCGACTAACAGTTGAATCTCAGGAGTAGACCACCATCAGTTCAAATATTGCCTTCCTGCTTCTTGGTTGTGAGACCTTGAGTAAGTTGCTTCACCCCACCAAGCCTCAGTTTCCCCCTACATATAATGTGGATGAGGATGACCATGATAGTACTGCAAAGGATAGTTATGAGGATGAAATGAGATACCACATTTGAAGCATGTAGCAAAGTTTGGCTCACAGTAAGTATTCAAGTAATAATGTTCATTGTCAGCTATTATACCTAGAGCAGGGGCTGGAAATATTTTTTAAAAAGCCCTTGAGTGTTGGCAGCAAAGAACTCGAAATGTGAGCTCCTTTGCTCTGAGGAAAATTGGGAGGCCTTACAAAAGGGCCCAGAAACATTTTCTTGGCATCTTCTCTTTTGGGGAAGCCCATGCCCATCCATATGCAAAGACATAAATGTGAGGAAAAGGCTTTCCCTCCAGTGGTCAGGGCCTAGGGAAATGAGTCTGCCTTCTTTCCTCTGCATTCCACACAAGTCTGGGGCCCTCACGATGCCTCCTGTACCAGAAACAGGGAACTCCTCCCATTCCCTTCCTTGTAGGCTTGGGGCAGGGCTGAGGAGTGGTGAGGATGTTCATGGAGATTTACACTTGGGGTTAAAGAGGACTGCAGAAATTCAAAGGGAAGCCAATCCTGCCTTCCCAGAACAGGCATGAGGTCCAATCCCCATGCACAGGCCCTTTTCTCATTTTATAAGGGAGCATCGCCCTGGAATGCTGCACTCCCATCTCAGTTATAACCCATTTTCCTAGGTCCCATATCCAGATGGTTAGTCTGCAATGAGAATAATTTATAGGTTTGAGACTCCCCTGGAGGCTGAGTCTCTAACTTAGGATGTCATGAATGTGCATTCAGGTAGACCCAGTGAGGACTTGCTCTGAGGGGTGGACACAAGGTATCCGGCATCTGCACAGGGAGTGCGGCACTCTCACAATCTATGCAGTTCCCCAGAATGTCTGCTTCTCTGGGTAGCTGCTGAGGCCACATCTCAGTAATAAGCACTGAGAGGTCACATATGTGGATACACACACACACACACACACACACACACACACACACACACACACACACACACACACACTTTCCCAGCCAAGGAGGTCATGCAAATGAGTGAAGCCAGCTAAGTGTAAGACTATGGAGAGAAGTGGATTTGTGATGACCTGGAAACCTTATGACGGATTTAAAGTGAGAGATTTTTTAATTTCAGAAACATCTCTAGCTGGGTTCAGTCTATCCATGGACTTTTTATTTCTATTTGGTTGTAACAATGCTCTGTCTGTGTCCATTCTGTGATGTGGGGCTGGACAAAGGGGTGAGACAACATGGCCTGTGGGACCACTGGACATCCTAATGATGCTTCATCCAGAGGGGGCTGAGTAGAGAGGGAGAGATGAGCTCAGCCAGCAACTGCGGGCTTTGCCATCCTGGTGGAGTTTCCTGGGGCCTTGTACCTTTGTAGCTTCTAACAGCCACAGATCCTGTCTGCAGAAGGGAAGGAGGTCCTCAATGGGAAGAGGGAGGGGAAGGAGGAGGAGGATGGGAGCTGCTTGGTCCCTGTAGGTGACTCTGGGCGACTCTGGATTACATACTATTCCTAGATTTTGTAGAACCTCACTTCTCTCCACAGTGGGATCAGGAGCTACAGTACATCTCCCAGAGATTCTGCGAATTAACAGCCTCTGTCTCAAGTCTTATTTCCTTTCTAGCAGTGATGCCCCTGTAAATGAGGTCTGGACTTCTAAACAGAGATTTCAACAGCAATGAGGCTTAAGGGAACAGGAATTTGCAAATCTGACACACTGGAAACAGGCCAGGAGTTCAGTGATGCTGGAAGAAACTCGAGATATGCCCAAGAGCACCAAAAGCCCCTCTCTCTAGCTTTCTACTTGCTCCTAACACTCTAGAAAGACCCAGCAAGATTATTGGAAAGTCTGGCCATTAGGAGGTAACTTGTGGTCAATTTTTAGCCTGGATCCTATATCAAAACCAAGTGAGAGGCCCTTCCTCAGCACTAACAGTCCTCTCTGTACAGAGATAAAGGTTGTGGTCAAGAGGAATAGTTGCATGTGCGTGCGTGTGTGTGTGTGTGTGCACGCGTGCGCGCGTATGTGTGCGCATGGCTGCAGATCCTTCCACTGGCTAAGATAAATCAGACTTTTAAACTCTCTTTAGATAATCCATTATAAGGATAAATACATTTTAAAACAGTTTCTAGATAGAAGGCAGTCCTCAGCTCTGGGTAGAATGTGGCAGGGGGACTGTCACCATAACATCAATAGCTGGAAATGGTGTGCATCCACATTTGGAAACCAGGGCTTATAGGAGGGCAGGTGGAGTCAATATCAACAATCGTAAACCAGGATTTGAACCCAGACATGGAAACACAACTTAGAGTGACCTTCCCCTCCCCAAGATGGGTAGTTGGGGGCCTTGGTGGTCATTCCCACACATGTAGGAGACAAGGTTCTTTTGACAGAGGCTGGAGCTATCTCTCCCACCAGGTCATTTACTCAGGGCTTCTGACAGAGCAATTTCAGCCCCTTCCTGGTACCTACTGAGTAGGACTTTCTATCCTTCAAAGCAGGGAGCTCTTTGGCCAGAATTCCAGCCTTTTTGAAAGTCAAGGGATCAATGCTCTAGTCTGGCTGTTTCTCTGACCTGAAACATGACTTTGGGCAAGGTCACTGTCCCTATTTGAGCTCAGATGTTCAATCTTATAACAGGAGAATGTGGGATTGGGTTATCTTGAATAGTCCTTTCTGTACTAACTCAGGGCCTACATGCTTCAGGCCCACTAGCCAGTTTACCAGTGAGACTGGCCTGGTTCCTGGGAATGACATGGGTCCCTTTAAGCTCTGAAGTCTATCATGGAGCTTCTTCCAAGAAGTATTCATCCCCACCTCCACCTAGCTATGATCAGTTTGTGCATTCTTGATCCTCCAAAACACCTGGCCAACAGGTCCAATTATCTCCATTACATGAACTAGAATGTTCAATCCCAGAGAGCCCAGGTGGTTCTCCCAAAATCACACATTGGCAAGTGACAGGGCTGGGGCTGGAAGCATCACTATTTGAGTCTGAGCTGGGGGCCATTTGCACCCACTAAGATCCATGCATATAATTTAGTCCGGTTGCAGGGAAGGACATGTCTCCTTCTTGTCCCCAAGAGACAATGGGGCTCAGAGCTAAGGGCTCAGAATACTGCCTGCTTACTTCTTCCACACAGATCCTGGCCATGGGGGCATGGAACTAAAGGTCAGGATTTGCAATGGGGAAGTGAGCAAGCAGCACTCAGGATTGTGGTTACACTGGTTCTGCTTCATCTGTCTATCTTCCTGGCAAGTTAAGCAGCCCATTATCAGGCAGATGAGGAAGAGGAACCCACTTTGGGGAACCATTTTCCCCCTAATCCCACAGTGCATTAAGGGAAGCTGGAGATCTCCATGACCAGCCCTCTAGCTCAGCCTGCTTGAGTGCTGGGAAGTCTCTCTCCATAAAATGAAGCTGTGGTCTGAGTAAAGCAAGATGTGCTCCATTTTCATAACTCTACAGTGAGGCATCAGCCTTTTATGCTTTCATCTTCAACCTCCATCCCTATCTCACAACAGCCCTCCAGGAGGTGGGGCACACCCCTCCACTCATTTCTAAGATGAGGATGCTGAGGGCTCCCAAGGTCACACAGATGGTAGGTTGTCAAACAGATTCCGCACCGGGCCCCCTAGTTCCCAGTCCCAGGCTTACCCCACTGTACCAGCTGCTGCCCTGCGGAGCAGTGTTTCTTGGGGTCTTGGGAAGAAATGTGAAGGGCATTGTGGTCAGATGTGTCTGCCAGCCAGCTTCCACCACTTTGGCAGCCTTGTCTGCTTTACCTAGTGTGCAGGGGGACTACAGGAGGGAGGCGGGGTCTTACCTGCAGCAGTGGTGATGCCTAGGAGCCGGCAGGTGTATTCCAGCCCAGTCCAGAACACCTGCAGCTTCATGGTGCCAAGGGCAAGTGCAGGGTCCCAGTAGGGCAAACAACAGAGGCTCTGGCCTGAGATGCTCTCAAATGCTTCTGTGCAGTGGGAGGTTCTGGCTGCCGGCTCAGGGCCCCAGTTCCCTGGGGCCCTGCCTTCCCAAACCAGTCCCGGCCACCACAGCCTGGCCGAGGTGTGAATAGGACTCACCTTCCTGGCTTGACTGCCTGTGCCCTTTCCAAGCACTCAGCTTAATCATTACCTTGGAAGAATGTCCCCACTACTCTGCGCAGCCAGGGCCTGACCTGCAGTCTCTGCAGTCCCAGTGGCCGCCTGAGATCAGGCCTATTAGGGCTGCGTTGGAGGCTGACAGCCAGGATCTGGCAATTAACTCTTTCTGGCTGGGAGGAGGGAGCCTGCCCTTCTCCCTGGCCCTTCCTTATTGGGCAGCTCCAGGACAGTCACACCGACCTCAGGCTGTTGGGATCCGGAGAGTCAGTGTCTAGAGGTGACAGTAGGAATGCAGGTCCCTGTGTGTGCATATGTGAGAGAGAGGGATGTGTCTTTAAATCACCAGCAGAAACAACTTTTGAAGTGAATTCTGAGCTTCTATTCTTTTCAATATAGGTGGATTAGAAAGCTTTTGAGTCTGTAGCAGGTTTGGACTCTGACCACACATACTTAGTGCAGGCCTATGCCATATAGGCATCTTCCTTTATTCCTGACATGCATTCTGACATGCAATGAGGGAATCACTATGATTCTTTGGGAGGGGAGTTGCTGTGTCAATAATTAACTGGTGACCTTGATAAAACACAAAGGTATTTGGGAGCCTTAGTAACTTTTGCTGAAAATAAATGAGAAAGTTTGGCTGGATTGGTGGTTCTCAAAGTATGAGAGCTTCTGAGAGCTTCTCCAAGAAGCCCAGCCTCTAAAATTTGGCATTTGTGGGCTTTCACTAATTTTTAATGTACTAATTGATGTAAGAGAGTAAATAATATCAAGTTTTAGCTTTCCTTCCAGGCATTTTTCTGAACTCTTACCCCTTCACTCACATAGGATAGACAACAAACAAGAAAGCAAATTAGGGAAACAAAACAAACAAACAAA